TTCAAGGTTAAAGACAAGTTTCCCTTTTTCCTAGGCTAAGCGACGACTTGACATCATTCCAGTGTCTCCTCTCTCGTTGCTGTCCTCGGAAATCCTTCTGAGAATTCCTCAGGCTACTCTTTCGCTGATTCAACCGTAATACGTAACTCAGATATCATTGACTGTCTTCGAAAGAAATGTATTCAATTTTATTTCGTAATGTGCGAAAAACAAGAACCGTATTATTACCTGAAAAAAAGAATATCCATCTCGAATAGTTGGGTTTTTACAAGAAATTATGTTCCGCTATTAAGGTTTTGTCTGTTATTGCATCTTATTTCCGTTGATGTTAAGGATATGCTAGGGACATGAGCGTTTATAGTGTTTTTTTCTCGAAAAACATGAGTTTTTGTCTGATATTCGAACGCTTTGGTAAAAATGCCTAAATCTCATAACTGTCGATTTAGAGCTGAGAGGTAAACCTGGATGGATGTATGTCTAACACTTCGGGTGTACGCCTAGAAATGTTGGACATGAATCTTTTCTAGCACCGGTGAGGTTTTTTTCGCATAATTATTTCATTATTTCAGATGCTCTCCTTGTGGCAAACATTTAGCTTTTTTGGACGAAAGCGTAAGCTCGATCCAAGATAGCGATATATTCATTGTATACTCGAAACTGTTTTCTCAGCCTTTTTGAGATTTTCATGTATTTTGGATACCTGAAAGAAAGTATAATATTCACTCGTAATATTAGACATTATATTCAGACTTACTGAACAAACGCTGAAACTACCAAGAGCGACCAAGATCTTTGTCTGAGTGTGATCACTATTTCGGAGATTTACAAATCCATAAAGCGAACGAAAATGAACGCGACGGGCCATGATAGTACTTTTAGCACTATTTTTGTATTTTTAATGGTTATCGTCACTATTTTGTATTTTTAATCGTTATTATCAATATTTTTGTATATTTAATGGTTATTATCACTATTTTTGAAATACATGTAGTAATACAGTTAAACATCGTGGCGGAGAGCGTTTGCTTTTGTTCGCCTCAATTTCAATGTTTTTAAGCATGCTTTTACATCGTTTCATCACCTGACGAAATCATGGAATAGTCAAACTTGGAAATTATCATCGTGATATATCAAGGAAAGTCTTTCAAAGTCTCAAATGAATTGGTTTTAAAAATTATAAGAGCTCTCTTTTACCTTGATATTCCTCCCACTAGATTTTATGAATCGCGTGACGCCTTCAATTTTGCAGATGCAACACGGACATCCATCAAGTACGAATAGTTGTATCTCAGCGCCGTCTCAACGCACGCCCTTTCCCTTGCTCTGTTTCCGCATGATGTTTGTTTCCGTTTGTCTTATTTGTCGTGGTACTTTAAGGACTATATGAACAACACAGCCGAAGATAGGAGGGACGTAATTTAGCCTCGTTTTTCAACTTTTCTCCTGAATCTGAGCGAGATCTCAGTAGCAGCATTGAGCGGAGCATTACGAGTTCACGTCTCACGTCTCACGCCATCGCGCCTTCAATTTTGCTTATGCAACACGGGCATCGATCAAGCACGAATAGTTGTATCTCTGCGCCGTCATCAACGCGCTTTGAAGTGTCTCTTAGTTCTATAATTATTTCTAGGTACGTAATTATACGAGACCAAATATGTTAGAATATTCTTACTATCGCAAAAAAGTAAGTAGGCTGATCGTCGAAAAATACAGGCGAAGAGGATAAACAGAGAGAATGGAGCAATCCTCGATAAATCGATTGCCATGCCATTTAAACCTATCGAAAAGGATCGATAAAAAGGGTGTTCGCAGCGAGCACCTTAATAATCGATTCTTCATCACGGATTCAAATGGGGAAATATCGATAATTGATCATTCACGCCACGCCACTGCACGAGACAGAGGATAAACTAACTAACAGCAATCTACGAGGAACCCCATGGGCAGTTCCACGTTTCTCCCTTGCTTTAAACTAACCACCCGTCTCAACCTATTATATTGCTTAATTTTCCTTTCATCTATAAAATTCAATAACCAGCGGCAAGTTTTCAAAACGTCCGTTGCGTGTAGATCCGTGACAGCGTTCAACTGGCTACAATTTTTTTTTCCAAAACCTGAAACCTGATAAATATCAATCCAATGAAAAGAAGAAAAAAGGAAGAAAAAAGGAAGAAAAAAAACGGATTTTTGCCCGAGTGGAAAGGAGAGCGGCTGTGTAATTTCCATAAGCCACGACAAGGATGTCTTAGCGAGGAGCTTGGATCTCCGAGTGGGAGACTTGAGACGTCAGAAGCTGGATCGAGGTAACAAGTTGGAATTAAGCTGCGGCGTCGAGGTCACCCGGGAGGGAGGTAGGAGGGGGTGGCGGTGCTGTCGAGGAGGGGAAGGGCGGGGGTAGGGAAAGGGTTGGACAGAGGTGGTGGTCGGCCGACAATTAGCTCCTGAGGAGCGAGAGCAAGAGGCAAAAACGCATATTGTTTGTCAAGTTCAATTGGATTGGGTTACAAGTTACCTGCATGCTCTTTCACACGATTCTAGTTTCTGAGCCGCCGCACCGCGCCTTCTCCGTTTCTCACCCGGGCACCGGACTCGTATCGCTCCCGGTTTCACCACTCCCGTCGTCTGCTCTCCGATATATCGATCCATCTCCCCTTTAAACCTATTCAAAAGTATCGATCGACAACAAGCACCTCAATAATCGAGTCTTTACCATGGCTTCAAGTGGGAAAATATCGATAGTCGATCATTCACGCCTCAACGTTGTACGGTATCTCGTGAGTCCATCAGAACTCCCGTCTCTTCAACGTTGAGCCAGTTATTTCTGATCGAACTTCTTCAAAGATTTTCAAAATTTTGCCTCTTCGTTGTACACAAGAGGTTGTGAAATGACATGCAAGGGGGAATTGCGAGGAAATAACGTTAGGCATATCAAAAAAGTTTGAAGTCCCTTCGTTGGCATGCAATTTGCGAGATTTGCAACACGCTTTTTTCAAAAACGTAGGTCCGTAGAATTTGTGAACTTATAATTTTATTTTTGGTATTTTTTATTTATTAAAAAGGAAATTATTTACCACCATGACAAATTATTGGTATCCTATGGATTACCAGTACGCAGAGTAATTTACTTGAATTTTTCTTTAACTTTAATTTCACTAAAAGCCAAAATTTGCCTTTGATTTTTTCGAAGTTGGAGGCTTCCTGTACCTAACCTACCAGAGTCACAATATGCAAGTAACCAAGGGCCGTGTTCATAGTCGTCCCTCAAACAGGGACTTTCTTGAAGAGGGCCCACATAGTTTCGTCGTGATTAATACAGATAATCAGTAGATCACCCAGGACCATTTGGACTGCATCTTGCAAAAAGGAACCAAGAGCATTCTAATGTTGATTGTGTCGCGTGCATGCTTTGCAATCAATACTAAAATAATAAATCAAATCAGATGTACAAAGGCAATTTTTGTCTTGAATCATAGTTTATTGAACGTAAAGATAAAACTTGTATCAATGATCAGTTTATAATTGCAGGGTGAAGAACGTTGCACAATCTTAGCGACACTGGAATGCTCCAGGGCCGTATAAAGGGGGTGGCCAATTGGGCAGCGGCCAATAGCGGCAAATCTATAGGGGGCGACAAATTTTGCAATTTTTTTAAATGTAGGTATAAAAAAAAATTCGGATTTAGAAAAAAAATTACAAACGAGAATAGGCGACAGAATCTCTAATTTTCTGAGAGTAAAGTAATTTCTACTTTTGTCGTCTTTCAGTGATACAAAAAACAACACCTTTAATTAGTCGAGTTAAGAGAAAACCAAACACGCAATTTGGCTTGGAACGGCGACTTGCCTAGAGAGAAATGATGATGAGGACTTGAGATGAAAAAGAGAAGCCCTCGGCGCGGCGATCGGCATGTAACACATATTAGCGCCTACAAGACTGCACGAATACTTCACGCATTGCATCAAACACGGTGCGATCATTGCGAACAGCGTGAAACGGATAGCGCCTACAAGAATGCATGAATACCTCACGCATTGCGGCAAACACAGTACGATCAGCGTGAGACGCATAGCGCCTACAAGACTGCATGAATACTTCACGCATTGCGTCAAAAACAGTGCGGTCTGCGAGGCGCGGCGGCGGAAGTTGAAATCATTAATCCACATTTATGTTTGTTCTTTCATAATTTTTTCGTTCATCTCTTATGAATGGAAGGCCTTGTCCACTCAGAAATAGGTTTACGAAACTTAACTTTCGCGCAAAGTTCTGTGAACTTTTGCTAGTAGTGTTGACAGGGCTTTCCCAAAAAATGTGTTCAACACCAGTAAACGCGTCTTATGCACCACTCCCCCGCTGGTACGTTCATTTGATGGTTTTCATTGATGTCTCAAAACGAATGTGAAGGGGGCGGCAAACTACTAGCGGCCCATGGGCGGCAAAATACTAGCGGCCCATGGGCGGCAAGTAGGTAAATCCGGCCCTGGAATGCTCTTGGTTCCTTTTTGCAAAATGCAATCCACCTTGTTACATACAGTTCGGGTCACTTCTTAGTGTTTTTCCCCCTCAATATTCATAAGTTTACGAGGAAATTTGTCTTTTTCAAAAGAAAGGTAACGTCTGAAGCTTCATAGGGCGTTTTTTCCATAAAAAGGTAGCATTACGCATATTGCGAGCGTGTCTATTGAAGCCTATCATGAGTGCGGCCGCGAGACGGGGCCAGGGATGACACCGGGCGGAGGTGTCGTGGATCACAAGTGCCGGCCGCGAGAATGAGCCGAGAGAGGAGCTAACCGGAGAGTCCCTTTCCCGGCCCTCACCCACCCCCCGCGCCCTTCCGCGGCTGGCTCCGCCCCTGGCGAGTGACTCCTTCTGTCCCGTTGCCCGTTGTGTGCCGGGCTCGGAACGATGTGTGACACGGCGACAGTCACCCTGCAACAACCTGCCACCGCGCCGCATCGCTGCAACCGCACGAGCCGTCCCCATCCCCCAGCGACCCCCCAGCGACCCCCCAGCGACCCCCTGGCCCCTGCCGGCCACCCGCACTCCACTCCACCGCCACAATCGTCACGGACCGCTTAGCTCCGCGCTTTTTCGGCCCCCCGGTATTTCTTCTTACACAACCCCGCGGTTTGTCGCGATTTTTCTGAGCATCTCTCAGCCTCATGATGAAGCAATCAGAAAAATACCTAACGAGGGTATTTAATCGGAAAATGAAGCGGTATCGTGCGTGAGTGCAGATAAATGTTCCAGCATCAAATTTTGTGCATCGGACTGCGAGTTTATCGCTGAATCGAGAGATTTTCCGCGGTAGTGAAACCGGTTTTAGTGCGAAGGATTTCACAGACTGTTTTGCTGTTCACCCCTCGAGTGCTTCGAAATAGCGTGTACCATGATTGCAACGATGAGTCCTAGAGCTGTTCCAAAAGTCCACGGAATTTTAATGGTCCGTCGATGAGACTTTGTTCGGAAAGCTACTCAAAAGTCTGCAATTTAAGGATGTGGTGACGGAGTTTGGGCCAGTGATATTGGTTTCCGTTGTCACCTGTCGACAATTTTTTAGAAATGACCTTTCTCTGGTTGTGAGCTAAGTGCGTGCGGTTTTTGCAAACGCCCGTTTCTAAGATAGTTAGATCATTTTTCATTTTGCTTTTGTGTTCCCTTTGCCCTTTGCGACGGAATGAGCTGAAAGCTCAATTGAAAGCTTTTATACCCGCTACCAAAAGAAATCTAGTCATTTGTTTCGTTGTTTTTTTTACGCTTGTTTATGTTTTGATCACGCGAAAGTATTGATCATTGAATATCAAAACCGGTGTGTTTTGAAACGGAGATCCAATCTTGATAGTGCTTGTCGCAAAAGTTAGAAAAGAAGAATTGGAATCTCATGCGAGTGTTTTATCTCAAAGATAAATGTTAAAAGATCGTCTCTAAAAGATCGATTCAGTGCACCAGACTAGTAATTACGGATCGTAAAATCGTAACCGGGTTCGATGCAAAGCATAACGGAATAGCGACCAAAGTGTTGATCTAATCGGAGCCTGGAATTAAAGTCGAAAAAATGACCCAGCTTTTCAAGAATTTCAAAAAGCTGAAGAGAATCGCGTTATTTCTGAATGGTAGGATTAGAACATTAGAAAATGAGGTTATAAACCGAACGGAGTAAAATCTCTGCAGAAAAATGTAAAGGATGAATAAAAAGTGTGTTCTTTCGTCTTTCATTTCGTGCTGGAGAAAGTGTAACTCATCATAATTGCAACCCTGGATCCCACGAATTTCGGGCTCTTCTCTTTGAGGCCCGCGATGGACCTTTCGACCGCTTATCGCTACAATCAGAACATGATGGAATACTACACTTGTAAGTTCATCCCACGTAATTTAGTATCAAGGTCATTCAGATCAGCGCCCCTTTCACAAAAAAAAAAATAAAAGTAAAAAAACTAGATTTTCAAGTCGATGTGAGGGGCTCGGCGGACAAGGCGCATAAGTGCAATTTTTGATTTTTGCTTCTTGGTGTCCCCGGCAATGTTCCCAGAGGGAAAATTGTATTGATTGTATTGTTAAAGCTAGAAATTGGTACATTAAAATGTCCTCAATAGAATTCTGCCTTCATCTTTGACTTTCAAGCACTCAACCTGGCGCATATTCGCATCTTTGAGTGACACGCAAAGAAAAAATTGATATAATAAAACGATTCTATTGGTTGATTTACCCTAGATGGACGAGAGAGAGAAAAATTCACTCTGCGGAAGAGGTGATTGGAAAATTTTCTCAACCAACTCCTCATATTTATTGAAACAGGATGGCGAATATAATGCAATTGACCGCTTGCAAACATATTAACCTTCTGCAAATTTTACGTGGCACTAACTCAATGAAACATATTATAGGAAGAAAGGTCAAATAAAATAAAAATTTTCCGATATTTATATTTTCGGGATTCTAAATCATGCTAGTTTGATTCTGATACATCTCAAATAGATCAAATTAATATCATTTCAAGGACTTTTTTACTTTGAAAAAGGAAAAATCCTCAAGTTTATTGGAATTTTTGTTGCTTCGTTTATGCAATTTTAAACGTTACTTACATCGATGCACTGGGGCAATTTAAAGTCAATGCTACTCATTTTGATTTTAATATTACTCTTAAGAACATACCGACGGTGAAAGTTTCAAACCAATTATCTCGGTCTGCGACGTTGTAGACTTCGTGTCATACTATATATTCTTAATTAAGAGCGTCTTAAGGGCGCTTGAACCGATTATCATTCAAATCATTTGTAAGCGTATGAAAAAAAATGCGAATGAGAAAAACGAGAAAAACCGTATTATTCGCTTTGTTGACAATCTTCAAATTCCAAAAAAGGTAAGTTATTTTAGGAGGCTATTTCAAAATCAGACATGATTGATTGTACCAGAGAAAACAAAGAAAAAACAACCCCTCCACCACCAATAAAGAAATTAGCGCTTACGTGATTTGGAAAATAATCGATTCAACTCTTGAAAATCTCCGTGATTTTTCTTCCCTGATGTGATAAGCAAATTGTGAAAAAAGCTTGAGAGAGTAATGCTGATTTGTTCTTTTTCAAAAAATAAAATATAGTGAAGATTACTCAACAACGCAAACGAGGTAAGCGGTTTTAGAGTTTCACCGTCGCTATCGCTTACCCGATAATTTTGAGCATGAACAGCACATTTAACACCACATTCAAGTGAGCATTATTAGCACATTTAACCTTTGACGCGTATCAGTGATGATAAAAGTAAAAAAATAGATATTCATTAATGCATTGGTAATAGTAACAAATGCCGAATATATCTCTCGGATCAATGCCTACCTATGTCTATTGCTCTTCCTTTGTTTGAAATTTTGCCTTCCTTCTATCCCATAGTAGTGATCGTCGAAAAAGTGTTGACCCAGTAAATTCTTGCGCTTAGGTCCTCTTTTCTTCAATATTTTGTGTTCGATACGCGTAAAAATTCTATGGTTGAAAATAGTAGATCACATTGGTTTCGGTAAAAATAAATGTTAATTACCGAGAAGGACGGATACAATTTGTAAAGTTTCAATGGTTTTTTATTGATAAAAGAGACCAGCAAGGGTGTTGGCTTCACCTTATTGTTACCCTACTCTTTTTGACTTTTCGTGACGTATAATCAAATAGGTATTTTAAACGGAGAGGTAAAACGTGATAACATGTTGAAAATACCCGTCGAAGGAACATTTTACGACACTTATCAGCGTCATACGCTTTAGGTCATATTATGCATCCATAAAATTTTAAAGGAAATAAATCAAATTGTAAATAATTTAAAACAAGTTGTCAAATGTAATTCAATCAAATTTATTATTTTTGAAATTGAAGAAAAACCAAAATAAGTATATTTGATAATTAACCAATTGTACACGATCCGTTAACAAACCTTCATATGAGAAAGTCAAAGATAATATTGACGTATGGAAATTTTCGTCGAATGCCTCAGTAATTGCACTCTTGCATGTATTCATAATATTTTCGATTTCTTTTGAGTCTCAATTTAAGAATAGTTTCTACTTTGATAAAATTTGAATACATTGCATGAGTAATTCAGTTGTTCTTTATCAAGAAATATTCTAGCGTAAAATTGAGTTTTTCTACGCCCTAAATCAGCTTTGACATATAAATTAATTAACATGAAAGATGAACTAACACAATTATCGGTGGTATCATGTAATTTTTTAAATTTATTTATTCACCTCTACTTGTGCACCTTTAAATTGCGTAAGTTTTGGTATTTGGATTTGTCTTCATGTTCATATCCAAGCCGGTTTCTTGAATGCAATAAGTATGCAGTCGAATTCTTGATATGATTTCATACTTCGGGATATGCTATCTATGATAATATCTCCATGAAAATTCAAACATATAGTTTTTTTTTCTTTCAATTTGCGCTCCTACATTTTTTTATTTTCTTAATGAACCAAAACTAATATGCACAAAGCTTCAAGTTCACCCATTTTAAAAGTTCCGTTCAGCACTTAACGGATAACTGACCAGTTTAAACTTAGGTAAATCTCAATTTTATTTACACTCCCGAGTATAGAGAGAAAACTTTAATAGCCCGGAAAAATTTGATTACGTTAATAGTCTATCTCCTGATAATCTCAAACTGGCATTGGAGTTATCTTTAAATTTATATTTTTTTTTTGCATAAAGATGTGATCTGGCTTCCATAAGTACGGTCTGCGCTGCAATTTTGCTCTGGATTTTATCAGTGAGTATACAACTCACCTTTTACTTAGAGATTACACTGACTATCGGAGTCATTATGCATACATTGCATCTGACAACTAAATTTTTAACTACGATTTTCCTCGGCAAGCATTGCTTTGAGGACAAAAGTAGCCAGTGCACCTTCATTTTTGCATACGCAACATGGACGTCCATGGAGCTTGTATAGTTGCATCCTATAGGCATAGGCGCTCGTCGCGTCGCGTTGTGTCGGCTCAGGGAAAAGAAAGCAAATGCGATTCAATTTTTGCAAATGCAGAATAGATGTCCATAGCGCAAGTATAATTGCATCTAGGAATGTTGCATCGTGGACCACATGCAAGAGAATGCATGAAAAGCGTTTTGTTTCAGCCTTTTAAGGACCAACAGAATCTTTTTTTCTGTAGCTCACTTATAAGCTAAGACCAGAACTTTTCTCGGGGCAAATTTTACAGCTGTTCCCACGATGGATTTGAGTTTTAAAATTGTTCAGTGACAACAAATTTTCATAAATTTCACTCGAAATTCAGAATTTGAACTCTGAACGGAAACCACTGTAAAATATGTAAAGGAACAAGGAATATGCATGTGTGTAAGAGGGCGCGCGGATTTTCATTTTTGTATTCCAATCATTTCAAGCTCTGAACATGACACATAAAACTTAAAATTTCGTTTCCGCATAACTATGACTGTTAACTTCAAATTATCATTACTGCGGTTATAGGCTTGGTATTTTTGGTCAGTTTTATTTTAGTGCAAAAATGTCAGAAAAAAAATAAACACTCCTAAGATTTGTTGTGTCAAAGAATCAATTTTGATTCCTATGACGCAGAGTTTTCCGTGGACGTTTACAAAAGAAATATGATACAAGAGTGTGGTTTAAAAGGCAGATTATTGACCCTCAGGTAGCCAATTTAGTTTTCTTGAGGTTGTTCGTAGCCAAGCAGATCACGAAGGTTCCAAGCATTCGTACATTATACAAAAAGGGTTGAACATTTATTTCATCCACTTATGAATCAGTTTTCTTTCCATTTCGTAAAAGTGGTGTTAATTGAGTTAAAAACTAGTTTTCCTTCGCATCAGAATTTTTACGCGGCGATTTATTGCACAAGTATACAGCAAGTGATGACTGGAAAAATGTATCATCGGCTTAATTTTTACAAGTCTATTCACACACAAATCACGATTTCTAAGAACTGGGGGGACTCATCAGGGAACGAAAAATATCTGGTAAAATAAAGGGGTGTTTCGTAAAAACCGAGGGTTTCTTGTCTTTTCTCCCCAAAACCAGTTTGTTTCAAAATTTTGCAACCCACACTGACTCGGCTTCACAAAGCCACCCAAACGATGGCGAAAAGCAAGAAATTTGAGACATTTTTCTGAGAGAATCGATAGAAATCGCGAGGAAACATTCAAACCTCATTCGAAATTTGGCACCAAAAATCATAGAATGGAAAAATTCAAAATTTTGAGACTTCACGAGTTCAAAGTTGATACACTTTAATCTTGACAAAAGGATTTACCCATTATGTATAATCATCTGGGAGAAATTAAAAAAAAAAACTTTGATGGCTCCTCAGGAATTTTCCTCGAAAATAATTAAAAATGGATCGCTGATAAAACAATTAAATTGTTAAAAATTATGTCCGATGTGTATCAAATTTACATTTTACAAGGGTGGGAAGCTACTTCAACCACGGCTATGGTTAAATTAGTATTTATTCATTGTAAAATTTACGTTGAAACATGTCGGACACTTTTTATTACTACAAAATTGTTTCCTAAATCAGCGATTTCATATTTCTCCGTGAATCAGGGGAAATTAAGAAATGGAAAAATGCAAAAATTCTAGAATCTGCAGGGAGAAAGTATGTGAAATACAGGGTTATCCAGAAGTCTGGGACCCCCCTTATAACTTTTGAACAAAAAATGCTAGAGATTTGAAATTTGGGGAATATTCCTAGGTCAAAGGGAACTACTTTTTGGCGTACCCAAAATTTTGGAGGGCGCCCCCCCTGAGGGGGGGCGGACCCTAACTTTTTTTTTTCAAATGGGAACCCCTATCTTGTGATACATCATTCGAAAGGGCTTAAAAAAAGAAAACTTT